CCTCTTACAGACAGAGGCAACGCCTTGCTGGGCAGGTATTTGCTGCTTTGTTGTAAAAGCAAGACTGAGTCCATTCTTAGACTCAGCAGGGGTTTGCTGTTCATCGTTGATGGCCTTACTCAGCAGGGGTTTTGTCAGTCCATGGAGTAAGGCCTTCGATGTATTCTTCGCTATCTTCTTATCTGCAACTGGACATCATGAGGCCTCGAGGCTTTGCCTTATCAGAGCCTCGTCGATTGAGTCCATTGTTAGTAAGGCCTTTGGTGCATTCCTGGCCATCTTCTTATCTACAACTGGAATGTTTTGAGACACCACGAGTCATTGGAGACAGTCAATTTGCAGTCTCTGCAAAACTGCATGAAATGACTAGTCCTCCACAGTGTGGTGGTTTTTTTTTTTTTTAAATATCTGTTTTTTACATTATTATTCCATAGCTTACATCACTCTGATTTACTTGTTACTAACAGATAAAAGAGCTACCAGATCTTAAGTGTTGGCACAATAAAATGTGTTTGCATTGTTAGAAGTTGTCTACGTTAGCAAGCACCTGTTTTATTGTTCCAAAGTTATATATGCTGTGAATGTTCTTATTTATCTCCTTGATTCCAATGAACAACTAATACGTTGGGTTAGGAATATACAGATCTGAGTATTTGAATGCTAAAGTTAAGACTGGAAAAGAAAGCTTTCCTCTGTAGGAAAGAAACATCTAAGAGGACAAGTGGGATGTCTCAGTAGACCTCCCTTTTTCCTAGTACTGCTCTTCAGGAAGCAGTTGGAAAAGCGTTTAATTGATGTCATACTGTTTTTCAATATAGAAAATGTGAGCATTTTGTAGAGCTGAACATAAAACCCTAGCATAACTTAAGAAAACTATCACTAATTCTGACAAGTTGATACTTACCATCTCCAACTTGTTAAAAAGCAATGTATTCACAAACTTAGTTCAGATCTCTGTATGTGACTCAGCAATGATACAGTTTTGGGTGTAATCCACAGTAGAAGTAAACTTAAAAAAGCCATAGCCAGCACTGAGAACTCCAGTCCTGTCTGCACTGTGAACGCTTCGATTCCTTTAAAAAAATTACAAACTAAAAGCAAAACACAAACAGGAGCAACATAGGCAATATACGCAATAGAGCCTGATGGGCACACTTTGCTAATTCAGTGTTGGATGAATTTTTAATACAAGAATATGCACTGGAGTCTTCTAACTGCGATGTTATACTGTTGGGTTTTTAAATGATTTGTCATATTTGGTTCCCATGCATTAAGTGCTTTCTGAGGACTTCCTTAAGAGTAAATTGTGAAAAGGCTCGGTTGAAGGTTTCATATAACTTATCAGGTTATAAAGTGTTCTTTGTGATAGTAAAACCGTAACATTAATAATTTATTTATTGACTTCATTCCAAAGTAATTCCAAAATTAAAAATATACCTTGTTTTCTTTTGGTTTTAGGTGAACAGCTATATACCAGGAATTGGTTATCAGATTTTTGGAAACGTCATATGTTTAATCTTGGGTTTAATGCCATTTGTCTTTCGACTTTCCCAAGCTAAAGATTTGGAACAGCTAGCTACGCATTCTGCCACTGAACTTTGTATGACTGCATTTGGATCAAATGGAGACATTCTGGTTCTCTCAATGGTTATTATAAGTTTTGTGGTCCGTGTGTCTCTAGTGTGGATTTTCTTTTTTCTGCTATGTGTAGCAGAGAGGACGTATAAACAGGTACGAACAGCAAACCAAGAGGCTTCATCCAAAGCAAAACAACGTTTAATGTTTACTTTTTTTTTGACTTTGTGGATATTTTAAACTTGTTTTCTTCAGCACAGGATGATTCATACATCAGTGATGACAAATACTTCAGTGGGCTTACAGTTTAGGAGATGACTCAGCTGCAATGGACTGAAGTCTGTACAGTCTCTGTAGTTAAACCTTTTTTTCTGGAGAGCATTTCTGAGGGAAGACTTTTTGATCTTTTGTTTCAGATTTCTGGCTCAATGCATTAACCCATCTCTTAGTCCTGTCCCAGTTTGTCTCAGTTTTCCCCAAAGAGTAGGAGTTTGAATAAAATAACTCCATAAATTTCACATTTGTTCTACTAGTGTGTTTTGTTCAAAACCTTCAGTTTAATTTGAAACAGTTCAGTCCAGACCCTAGCCAAGAGCCCTGCCTACTTGGCTGGTAGATCAGTCCCATGGCCGGAGACCGTGAGAGCTGCCGTCTGAAGTAATACACCTGTTAATTTATTGCTTGTTATTGCATTTTAGACTTCTGAGAGTATCAATATCCCCTATTAGCTGCAGAGTATAGATAGTTACTGATCTGCAGAAGAAAGGTTTTTATACTTTCTTTTCTCAAATTATAGCCAAAATATGTGATTTAATACAGTAGAATATAATTAACTGGCTTCTAATTAATTTCTGTTGGAAGGAACTTCTGTGGTACAGGCACTCTCTAATGCAAATAATTAGCAGGTTTGATTTTCTCCCAAATTTTAGGAGCATAGCAGATCTGTTGTTTGAAATTTGAAGAAAGGAACTCAAAGTGTAGCTAAATTTTATCATTAGAGTATGAAGACTTATAACGTTTTAGTATATCTCCTCTTTTTAGAAGCATGCTACTCTTATTTCTGCACTGTTAACATATTTTAATTTACACTGATACTTTGTACATTACTTTGACATAGTAAGTGAAGCCTTTTCTCCTTTTTCTTTTTATTGCCCTTGAAAATCAATTAACAGTTAAAGTAATTTTGTTTTCTTCTCTGCAGAGGCTACTTTTTGCAAAACTTTTTGGTCATCTAACATCTGCCAGAAGGGCAAGAAAATCTGAGGTTCCTCACTTCCGCTTGAAGAAAGTACAGAATATAAAAATGTGGCTTTCTCTCAGGTCCTATCTAAAGGTAAAATAATCTTTACTTTTATTGCCACTTTAATATAAAATATCAATATGCTGTTGCTGGAAGGTTGGTATTCTAGTCTGAATTTTTCTTCCTGTGCACATGTGCCTTATATGCTTCATTTTAGTGAGTCTGGGCCAGCAGTGTCTGCAGGCAGCCAGATTGTGAGAAAATAAATGTCTGCTTTTTACCTTGGAGCACAGTATGAGTGTGTTCACAGTTGGAGTCTTGTCTTACTAATGCTAGGAGAAAAGTCAGGTGAGCATGTTGGGTAAAAGTGACCTCTTGTAGTGTAAAACAGACAAACACTTTATTGTAAGAGCCCCATCAGTTAGTGTCATTAACACAGAAGGAATTTATGAAGCAAGACAGTTTTTGTGCATATTTGTGCTGTGAGTGTATACGTGCCAGGTGAAGATAGAGTTTATGCCCAAGTACTATCTATAAAATATTCTGATCCCTCTATTGTATGTTCAGCTCATATTTGAGCAATCTCCTTATATGTCTGTAATGATCATCTCTGTAATGATCTTTTCGAGCCAGAGCCTTTTGATGATTCTTCGTGAAAGGATCCGTAAGATAACAGAAAAAGATAAGCACAATCTCAAATTTGAAAGATGCGTCATTTTAAGAGGAATTGAGGCAATTCATTTACAATGCCCCTGGTGTTATGGAAGGGTCTGTTAGAGAGGTTGCAAAAAAAGAGGTACCCTGTACTTAACATTTGAGAGACTTGTATCTTTTTCCTTGTAGTTCATAATATGTTGCTGGGTGGGAGGAAAGGGGGATAACATCACTTGGACAATAGAATGAAGTTTTGGTGCTTCAGAGACTGCAGATGGAAGCATTGTGGAAAGTGTCTTCCCTTCTTTCCTCACAACCACATATATGTATTGTACCTTTTCTTATGCCACCAGAAACATTTGTATAATTATGTGGCTAAGAAAAAAGCAATGACAGTGGTCAGAATCAGGAGCATAGGAAACTGACCCAACTCAAAAAAAACCAGTCAAGAACAGTAATTTTCAGCTCCATCTGTTGCTTGACTTGGTTCACTGGACAGATCTATAATGCCTGTGCTGGCATGAGGAAAGGAATGGAGACAGACAGGTGAGGCACAGGGCTGCCTTCTTGCAGCAGTGGTGCTGCTGGCATATACTGGCATAGCATTTGTCCAACATACACGGGCATGTTACCACTCTGTGTATGTGTCCACCTGCCAAGATGTGAGCTGGGGTACATACACATCTCAAGTCTCACACAGGCAAAATGCTCTGGTTGAGTGTAGAAGTAGTGCATGCATACCTGCAGTAGCAGTTTGCACTTGTTTTCAGGAGTTAAGCTTCCTGTCTCTTTCTCCCAAGTTCCAAGGTTATATCCTGCATATGTACACCTCTCATTCTCCTCACATTTTAGTAGCATGTCTGGAGAACAAAGTTGAGAAATAAGTGTCTGTTATACAAGTTTCAATGCAGCACAGGATGTTTAATTCTTTAATTAAAAAATGCATGAGAAAAAAGCTCGGTGGGTAGAAACATTCCGTTGTACGAGCAAGCAAGAAAAAAAATGGTTGAAAACAGTGAGGTTGTTGCACCTTTCAAGACAAATATGTTTGTTCCCCCATTTTTCTTCTTGTTCTCGGGGAGAGAATTGTATTATTACACCTACCACAGTGGTACAGTGATTTATAGCTACAATTTTTGTGTGTCAAAAAGAGGCAAGTAATGGAAAATGCCAAGCATGTGATATCATATCTTGATATCCCGTTGAGATCTGGTGTCCAAAAATCTTTTGTTAGCACTGGTTTGATACTTGGGGTGAAAGACCAGTGCCTTATTGAATTTGTTGTGTCAGGGAATGCTGCCTAAGTGAAAGTTACTTGACATCATGAAGGAGCTGAATGAACAAGTGGTGACTATTTTCTTTTCTCATAGTTATCTTTAAATGCTTGCGTCTGAATTAATCTCACATGCCAGGGGTATTCAAATGTAGTGATACTATTAGGATCTAATATGGTGTTTGGAACTTAAGTTGCCAAATTGTGAGTCATCATGAAACGTAGGTTCAAGGTGTGAATCTAACTGGATATGCTAAATATCAACGCTGATTAGATAGATTTTTCACTCACATATATGGATGTCCTTTATTTTCAGCGTCGAGGTCCTCAACGCTCAGTCGATGTTATAGTTTCATCTGCCTTCCTACTGACTATCTCAGTTGTGTTTATCTGTTGTGCACAGGTGAGGAAATCTTGCATAGAAACAGCCATGACTTAAATAGTTTTTAAAATAGTTTTGAGTCCCTTTTGCATGGTGGTTCCTATTAAGTTAGAAGACCACAGTCGAAAAATTAGTAACAGCTGTTACAGCATTTCAGAAGATTAAGCTCTATTTTGTATTGTTCATTTTATCTACTTTAGAGTATTATTTTGTAAGAGCTAAAGAGACTTATTGATAGTGTAATTTTTTAAAATCTGTGTCTTCTTTCATTTCCCATCGTGGATTTTGGAACACAGCAATTTTTTTTCCTAACATTTTGTATCAACACATATTTCCGAACAGTTGAGATTGACCTTGGTTGATGATTTTTGTGAGAAACAAGATTGTTGGCTATATTAGCCTGCCCTCTAGTGGAATATCTTTTAGTAAGCAAATCTATGTTTATAAACAATTTTTACCGCTTAAGATTTTTTTCTTGAGCTTGTTTCAGAATACAGGGAAACTTCTGAATGGCTTCTGGTTGTACTTTTTTTCCCACTTTCTTCCCTAGTTAATGCTAGTGTGTTTTCCTGGTAGCTAACAATAAATATTTTAATAAGGATATAATTTAGCTGTAACTATGCTTGGATTCAATTTTCTATATAATTCAGTACATTTCAGGGTATATTTTTCTTTTATCCCATATAGTGTCTTTGCAAGTTTAAACATGAGTTTAAAATTGTCTTACAGTATGCTTTTCTTCTTTTCTATTACTTTAGGGATATGAAAAAAGATGTGTCTAAATTCTGATCGAGCGTTTCAGAGCATGTATTTTCTCAAACCTCAGATCTTTGACACAGTGTTGATTTTAAAATATGATTCAAAAATCTTTTATGCCTAAAAGCAATCCATATACTTATGATTAGGAAGTTTTTCTTGGAGTTGGGGAGATATGTAATTATTTTCTTATGTTGTAAGGTAATTATTACTTTGAATTAAATTTTGATTTTTTTTTTCTCTTTTGTTTTCAGCTGCTTCACATGCATGAGATCTTCCTTGATTGTCACTACAACTGGGAACTCATTATTTGGTGCATTTCACTAACTCTTTTTCTCTTAAGATTTGTTACTCTTGGATCTGAAACCAGTAAAAAGTACAGCAATACCTCAATATTACTTACTGAGCAGGTGAGAATTTGTATAGACCTATATTTTTGTATCTAAGCAAGTTATTAATCTAGTAGGTCTCAGGCATGCATTTTAGATGTATTGAAATAGTCTGGATTACAGAGTTAATTATGGTGTAGTGCAACAACACTTTACAACCTGAAGTTCAGTTTCTGTGGGAAGTGTGTGTGACTTTGTTTAAAAGTCGTAAGGGACATTGGGATGGCCGTATCTCAATTCCTGTTTAAGTGAGCAGGCTTAGAGATATCAGTATATGTAATTTGATATAATTAAAGATACGACAGAACACAAACATAAAAAGCAGCTTTTAAACCGCAAAAAGAAACCTGAACTCTCAGTGTTGGATGGGAGAGTAAAAGATTTGAAAAGAAACTTGCCCTCTACAAAGTGGGTCACTTTTTACAGTCCAATAATTTTGACTGCTAGGTTGCGTGGATTACGTTCAGTTTCCTCTAGACTCCTTGGAAACTTTTTCTTTCAGTCATCTGTCAAGCTTGGCTTTGGGTCTACCTACTTTTCTTCTCAGGAACATTCTAGTTGGCATTTTTACTGCAGATGTCCCTTTTTGCTCTGCCTGGGACTGCTGATACTTTTCCAAGGTATCTGTTGTGTTAGATAAGAAGAAATATCTTTCTTCTTGGAGAGGTTTCACATTGGTGCACAACACAGCATTCAGGACAAGGTAAAAAGGCAGTTCAAGAAATCTTCATACATTTCCTACAGGAAATGTGTTGAAGTTGGAGAATAAAATCTTCCAAACTGAGCCTCCCAAAGTCAGGATGTGAAGCTTGTGACAGATGGTATAAATGACTTCTTATATATTTTGCTCATTGAGAATTAATTCTGTCTTTTCTAAAGATGATGAGGCTAGACACTGAGAAGACGGACTGCCTATTTACCTTGTCCTAAATGCTGTGTTTTGCACCAGTGTGAAACTTCTCAGGGTTCCTGAGCCCAGAGAGCTTTGCGTTGTTCTGATGATGCTCAGAGTACAAATAACCTAATGTCCCAGTGAAGTTTGTCCTCTGTTTCTGGAATGAAAATGGAGGGAAATGGAAAATGGAAATTGGAAATTGGAAAAAAACGCAGAGCAAGATGGGAGAGAGAGAGAGACAGAATGTCAAGCCTTTGTTTTGCTTTCATAGGTTTCTATACTATGCTCTTCATGAGAGTCAGTGTTTGAACTTTTTAAACCAGCATAGATATTGAAAGGAGTACTCTCTCCATATCCCCAGAACTTAAAAAAAAAAAAAAATCAGACAGTGGTGTGTCATCAGACACTTAGCTTTGTATTCAATCCAGCTTATCCTGTTATAAGTCATTTCCCACAAAAATGCCTGAGATCATTATGAAATGAAAACCAAAATAGAATTCACAGTTGTTTCTCAGAAAATAAAAAGTGTACACGTCACCCTGGCTGGAACTCATTTTGTGTGGTTTCACATACCAGCTGGATACCACAGCACATTTACAGTGTTGTTGAGACAGACTCATGAAAGTCTGACATTTTGGCCTTTCATGAGAGGTCAGGCACAAATTGACTGACACTCATGTGATATAAAAGAAGACATTTAAGCTGGTGTCCTTGAAAGTCACACACTAGTGCTATTAGACTTACTGAGAAGAGAATGAGGCTTTAAAACAAGCAAACACAAAACTACAGGAAACAAAACAAATCCCAACAGGACAAACAAGCCTCAACCCCCAGATTCAATTTAAATGCTTCATGGATAAGATGAAGTTGCAAATTCTAATTTCTGTCAGCAAAGTTCCATCTGCTTCTGTGTGCTTTATATTCAACCTATTAATACTGTGATTAGGAGTCATGATGGGAAACTAAAAGATCAATCGTTTTATAGCAAAGGATTTTTGATTGTGTGCTGTTTGCCGGTAATTTTTCAAGTCCTTCTGAAAATGTTTTTAATTAGTCTTGTAAATCAAGTGCCTCAGTGGTTCCTTGTTGAGTAAAATACAACGTAAGGTCTGATCGAAGTTGTTGTCTTGCCAGTTTAAAGTCTCAGAATAGGTATGGTAGATGTCTGTGCATATACACATTCAAACTCCCCTCCTGAGTCAAAGCTTGTTATTGAATGTTGATTTTTTTCATAAATTAATGAAATAATAGTAACTGTTAAAAGAGATTTGAACCTTTAGCAGGATTATGTTTTAGCATCTATTCAGTAACTTTTAGGATTTTAAGCCTTGTAAGGTCTCCATACTAGTGTAAAAACCGTCTGGAAATGTATTGACAAGTCTCAGGCAATTATTGAAGGAGGAAAAAGAAATTATGCAAACATTACATATGAGGTGTTTTTTCTTGCCTGACTTGTATATTACACTAAACTTGAAAGTTGTTGCTATAGCAGTATCAAATGTATTTTGTTATATCATAAAACATTGTATTCTCCTATGGTACTGAGACAGTATTTGTTCCTATGTATTAAAAAGGAAGCAAAAAAATTTGCTTGCTTGCAGAAATGTCATTGTTGTTCTATCATGTGGCTGCTGAGTAATCACTTCATTTTCTTATTAAATATTTCCAAATGAATTACTTTAAATTTTGAATAAGTGGTGATACTTGTATTTTGTTTAAATTAGATAAACTTGTACTTGAAAATGGAGAAAAAGCCTAATAAGAAGGAGGAACTGACACTAGTGAACAATGTTTTAAAACTTGCTACTAAGTTATTGAAGGTAAGAATTAAAGTAGTATTACCATATTATATATAACTAAGAAGCAGAATGATTGCTTAATGAATCACTTGTGTTACTTCTGCAGGCAGTACAGTATGCTTTGGATTAAATCTCCTCTCTAACTCTTTACTGGTGCTACTTGTTCATACACTGCAGTCTGTTATGTTGCTATCATTGTGGATTACAAATTATTATTCTTTAACAGTACATGAGCAGCGGGAGAGAAGGTAGTTTGGGATCGACAGTGTGATGAACCCTTGGAAAATAAATGATGCAATTTTGTGGTTTATTTTGAGTGTCAATATCTGTTTCTAGTAATAAGTTGCTGTAAAATTTGTATTCTTCCAGAAAAATAATTCCTCTTAAAAACTGTCAGTGGTTAGTGTTTCAAATTAAAACTGGCTTATGCTTGATGTCTTCTTTACCTGCTGTCATAGAAGAATCATTTTGGCAGACAAAGAGAAATTGTTACATAGGTCCATTTATAGGTGAATTAAAGATGTGGATTTAATTTAATGTAATTTGAATATTTCTCAGTTGTGCCTTTGAACTATTTGGCAAATTTTTTTTCATGTAATTTCACTGATTATTAGAAAAGTTTTTTGCTTATGCAGTATTATCCTGTTTGCCAGCTATCTGTATTTGGTGGGTAGGTTTGTTGTTCTTGGGGTCAGAAGTAAGGTAACAACAGTATTTTGATTCCTTCTTCAGGGAATCAACTTCTTCAGTTAGTCCAACATAGAGCAGTCATGTAGAACAGTTCCCCAGGAATGACTGGCAGATGTAAAAGTATTTTCCTCCCCTTCAGATAAATTTCCTTCAATCCACACACCCCTCCCACCATGTCTGAGTATAGCACAACTGATACTGATTCCATGGGCAGAGATCCTCATCTGTAGAGGAAAAGGCTGGATTATCATACAGTAAACCTGAACCATACCTTCTTTCAATGCCTCTATACCTTTCCTTTGCAGTCAGAAAAATTCAAGCGTATTACGATAAGCAAGTGGGGTTTTTTGCATATAGTGGTGTTTTAAGACCTTGCTGCCTCATTCTACCACACCTTGAATTCTGGTCACTTACCCTGAGATTCCTGTGTGCCAAGGAGCAGTTCTTAAAATGAAGCTTAAACTCGGTTTAAATCTAGCCAGCTAGTAGCTGAGGTAATGGAGTACTTCTTCTGGTCACCTGAGTAATTCTCCCCACCAGCACACCTTTAACAGTGCATGTGGTCCCCTTATCTCAAAAAAAATATGCAGCACTTCCCATGAGAGGACTGATGGAGTCAACAAGGACTCAAAGGTGACGAAGCAACAGCTTAAGTTAAGAGTTAATGAGACAGTGATATGGAGAGACTGGCGAAGTGAGCTGACAAAGCAACAGCTTAAGTTGAGGGTTATGGCACAGTGATATGGAGAGACTGGCGAAGTGAGTTATTGACTGTGTCTCTTGGTATAAGAATAAGGGACCATAAAGCTCTTAGGACCTGGTTTTGGAACAAACAAAGGGAAGTATTTTCAGTGCTTCAGGTATCAGACTTGTGCAGCTGTTGGTCAAAGGACCCTGTGGATGCAGAAAGGTTACCCGGATTCAAGGAGAGACAAGTAGACTAGACAAAGCGAGGACCCTGTGGATGCAGAAAGGTTACCTGGACTCAAGGAGAGACAAGTAGACTAGACAAAGCACAACAGATTCAGGGTATCTCATGAGTTGAAATGTTTGTGTGCTGTGAGAACACAGGTAGGGTGAGGAGTAGGTGCTGTTGGTGGCAGGATGCTGATCAACTGTTGATCTGATCACTTCAGTCTTTTTTATGCTTTTCTCAGTGTTTTCAAAAAAATGTTCATGTTTTGTTCCTTCCAGAAATATATCAACTGACATGGCCTTTCCAGCAGGGGACTTGGCTTTTGTGGCACAAATCCCAGACCCAGGCCATAATTTAGTTACTGTGAGAACATGCCCAAAAGTGAGATGAGATTTCCAAGCCACCTAATATGGACTTTAAATGAATTATTAGTAGTTAGTGATCAGTAAAATTATGTATTTCATGCACAGTAGATAAATGGAGTTGTTTGGTTTAACTTGTTTTTGAACATTTTTGATCCTTAGCTTTTACTGAAGACTATATTATGTTGAATATTCTTACTATTTTCTTACTCCCCAAATTGGTAAGATGAATCCAAAATCTAAAAACTTTTTCCTTAAAGAATTTCTCTGCTGTTCTGACAATCATGTCTTTTATATCTTTTTGCATTCGCGGCAGGGTTTTATACCACATTACATCTAAATGAAAAGGTTGTTCATTTTTATTTCACCTCTTTTGAAAGAAGAATCAGAGCTCTGAAACTCTTCTTTATTAAAAAAGGGTTTATAAGGCCTTGTTCAAGGTCCAGAATATAATGCAAGAGAGGGTTGATGATGAATTTAAAGCTAGAAAATATAAATGACCAAAACGGTGATGGTTGTTATACCTTGTATATCCACTCTTACATTTTAAAACTCTTTTCTTCTTCCTTTATTTGACATATTTCTAAGCCAGAAAAGTTTGAGTGACTTTATTCACACACCAATAATTGAAAATTGGTGAACTAGCCTCTTTGTTCAAGTTTTGTTGCAGATTAATTTTGGCATTTTTTCCAAACCTTCCAGTAAAAAAAAAAAAGTAAAATGTTGGCAGTAAAATAGTTAAATGGTTATTAGTTTTTTTTTCCTTTATCTTCCTTTTCTGGGTATGTTCTTAAGTAATTGTTCTCAAAATTAATGGAAAAGGAGGGGAATTACATTAGGAAAAACATTTTTGTTAATTTTTTGTAGTAGTGAGGTAGCCTCTTCTGTCACTGTGGAAAGTCTGTTTTCTTGGGGTTTTTTTGGTTCCGCTGTCTGCAGCTCTTTTAACACTGAAGGTGATTTCTGGCAAATTATAAGGAATTCTGAAATGATGGCACCTTGGTGCCAGGAGAACTAGCTCTCTATTTCCCTGACTCCATGAACAAACTGGTTGATACTCTAGATGGGTAGCCTCCAATTTTTTGCAGGGTTATTTAGACACCATCACTCAACAGTCAGTTAATGTGATGGGTATTTTTTGCTTGTTGTTTTTTTATATGCAGAAGCATAGGAGAACGTTTTACTCCACTGTGACTTGGAGACTTCCTAAACTATCTAATATCACTCAATACATGTATGATGCCCTTTGTGTAATTTTTGCTTTTTAACGATGTCATTGCTTGGCATTACTAGGAACTGGACAGTCCCTTTAGATTATATGGGCTTACGATGAATCCACTGCTTTATAATATCACCCAAGTTGTCATCTTGTCTGCTGTTTCTGGTGTCATCAGTGACTTGCTTGGATTTAATCTAAAGGTAACTACTGGATAAGCATAATTTTTTTTCACCATGCATTTCAGAATGTCGTCATAGATGGATCATACATTGTAGTCTAATGAATTCTTAACTGTATTAACTAGAAGATTTGTTGTTTGAAAATGGTTATATGAAATTTAAGCTATATCAGAAGAATGGTGATGTATTTGTCAAAACAGTCCTTTTAACATTTTTTTTTTCATTTTTGTGACTTTCTAACTTCATTTAGGACACATAATTACCAGTATTCTTAGACATAAATACAGAGACATTTATACATGTAGGTACAAGACCTTATTTAACTTATCTTCATATCCCAGATACGATTTCTCGCTTAAATTCCTAGTTCTTGACATTGTAGCTCTTCAAGGGATGCAGAAAGGTGTGAGCTACCCTTGTCTTGCACTGTAGTAAAGCATTACAGTAGATGCAGTGTGACCAGTCATACACAGTGTCATTTTGTCATGGCTGAAGGACTATCTTGTGAGCTCCTACTCTCTGGCCCCCTCTGAACTACAAACTCTGGAAACTAGTTCAAGATTTAGATAACGAGGCATGTTAGTTTCCACAAGCTTGTAGCACAAAGCCCTTAATCAGCCATTGAGTTTGCTTATGTCTACCCTTTTTTCCCTATTAGAAGTAAACGGATGTAAAATTTATTTTGTGTACCATAGAATATGCAGCAAATGCAATAAGAAAAAAAAAGTGGTGGTATTGCAGTTCTGGTAAACAGAAAACTGAGATGAGAAATAATGTTGATTTACTGCTTTACTTTTTAACTTCAACTTTTCCAGCTCTGGAAGATCAAATCTTGACAATATATAAAGAAGATGAGATAACACAGTGTTATAGAAAAGCTCATTGGTTGACAAAACTGCCTCAAAGCAGCCACTGAATCTGTATTTCAGATGCTACAACCTCTTCAAGGATGTCATTTGGAAAATTGAAGTGTTTACATCTGACTCTCTTGTGCAATCTTTGTATTTATTTCACCTTCTCACTGTTTTATGTTCATTTTAGTTGACATTTATATTTTGTTTTCAAACTTGTTTAGTTTTGAAAAAGGTCAAATTTGGGAAGGTCAAAAACTGTGTCTGAGAACTTGAAATCCAGGAAATTGATTACACTAAATTAATATATCTGTTGTTAAAGCTGAAGCCAACGCTGAACATTTTTAGTTGCAGTAACGCTGTGTAGAAGTAATTTGATTTTTGATAGTGTGTTAAGAATAGTTATAATATTTCATTTGCACCAATCATTTATGAGGACAAAATAACATCAATAGATGTTTGACTGCAATAGAAAAGTGAGACGTACACAAAAAATAAAGTACTGACAATACAGTATGACAGGTAGCAGAAATATTTTATATTACTGTTAGAAGCAAGTGTGAATTTTTAATATTTTGAGTAATTCCAGGATTCAAACAGATATAGGCTGCAGTTTAAATATCCTGGGATATCAATAAGGTATTATATAACAGGTCAACAAGTGCTCTTTGGTAACACTTTTATTAGAGCAATAATTGTAAATGGTTACCATGCTGTATGATATTTTGATAAAATTAAATATTGTATTTATTTGAAATACTGGGCTGTTCTGCGCAGCTCTGACTGTGCATGCTCAATATGTGCACTTTTTATTGTTACTTTTAATGAGAAACTTTATATATATATACATATAAATGTATATTAATTGGAATATATTATGGTGAACTATGGAGCAGTATATATTATATGTTGAAGTTGAATATTTAAACAAGCGAAAGATTTACTGGTGAAAGGAATGCTATGAATGACAGAGCATAAGTTAGGTAGATGCTCTCCTCTTGTACACTATAGTATATGCCATTCATACCACATTGAAGTTTAAGAACAGTTTTGAAGTTTAAGAACAGTTAACCACAGAAAACAAGTTCCTCTAGTGAGCAGCAGAGCTCATGAAGCCAGGTATTCTCTAGCAGATTTGTGTCTTCAGATAACCTCTGTTTCTGCCGTTCCTCCCCAGCGCAGGGGTCGTTCCCTAGTGCTTTCCCGGCTGGGGTTTGCCAGCCTTGGGTTTCCCACCTCTCCCTCTGCCTTCTATCCCCACCTCCCACACGGACCAGTCATACTGACTCGTGGTTCTTCAGTGTGACAAAAATAGATCTTCACCCATGTAGAACTGAGTTACTTAGAACAAACTATCCATCTACAAATTATTTTGAGAGGATTAATATCACCAGGTGCAAGCATTCTCACATTTTATGTTTCTAAAATAGCGGCTTCATACAGAAAAATGACAAGTAATTGGGTGACGAGAGTCTGGGCATTGCACCATGTTTGCTCATCTTGAAAGATTTGCAGTAATGTATCTTAAACTTGTGTGGTATAAAAATATTTTTATATATAAAGCAACACAAACAAGCATTTTGTATTTTATTTGCCTCTGTACTAATGTTTAATAATGACCAAAGTGCATTCTGGTTTTTGAAAGAATGTATTACTGGAGCTTTAAGAACATACTATATTTAGTTTCTTATGTGAAAACTTCAGCTGCATCTGATCATTCTTCTTTCTCTGTTGTTTGATGTTGGGATTGTTTTTAAAAATTAAGTAAATTTTATACACAGTGTTTTCCAAGTGATGGTACAGACCTACATGGAACTTAATTTTGCACAAAATATATTTTAAGAAAAAAAAAAGTACAGCAGGAGTTCTATGGATGATGAAAGATAAGGTTATTGCTTTTTACTGCCTGTCACTGTTACAAAACCATTCTTTACTCTAGAATGGAATTATTTTTAGAAATGTAAAATGGTGAATATATGGCTTTCATTACCTTAAAAAAAAAAGCAGCAGGGGGAGGGAAAACATTGCGGTTTAGGTTGAAGGTGAAGTTAGTTGAACCACGTATACCTCAGCAACTAGCACTATGCTGGATTGTTGCACTAACATATATCGGCTTGGGGAGTTTAAAAGGTTTGTGAAATGGAATTACAAATAATAAAAACCTTTAATTGCTACCACTAGGTATACTCATTATGCTAAAAATGGAAGAGGTTTATTCTCCATCCCTCAGTATGGAAAATCCAGTATGAGAATAGAGGCAAGTAGAAATATGGGCGATCTTGCGTGTTAACTGTTATTTTTTGCCACGTTTTGTAACTGAAAGTGTGATCAGACTTGGAATAAAGCTTTCTATGGTTGATGGTAAAAAAGAAAAAAATTCATGTGGTGAGCTGTATCTTTTACTAGTATCCAGCATATTTCTGAGTCTGCAATTTTTGATTTAAAACCATATATTCTATTTAAATTAAAGCATATTTGTGAGAGAAGTCCTGCACATGGAATGCAAATGATGGTTGTCAAAACTGCACTTTATTGCAAGAACACAAACTTCCAGACACTTCTAGTTATGCAGAGTAGTTTGATTTTATTAAGACTACTGGACATGCAGCTTCCAAATAACTGTTTCTATTTGTAAAATATTGAAACAGGATTCAGTCCTATTTCACCAGGATTTAAGGGATTTATTTCCATCACCATTTTGGCTGTTCTGCTATGTCACAAGATATACTTCCATGTAAAAGTCAAAATACAAGCAAACTGAAATACCTATTGAAATCAAAGTGAAATGTTTCAATGACATGTTATGGAATATTTGGACAGAAATAATGTGTGATAACTTACGTATTTTATCTGTTTGTTTACTGATTAGTGAAATATTTTCTAACAGAAAACGATTCTATTAACAGCTCTCAAACACACATTTTTTATTAGCTTTATTTTGGTTTTTTCCAAAACCTCATCTTTGGACTTCAGATGTGTTCTGCTAGTGGTGTCCCCATGGCCACTGATGACTGGACAGTAGGTTACACTCCGCACTGTGTTCGTTTCTTCACTTTCTAAACTTGCTCCAAATGTAGACTGTTTACAATTTATGATTTCTTTTGGTGGTCATGGAAGACACTGCATACATTGAGAAATTAACATCTTCTGAGAGCTGTTCTTTTTAACATCCATCTCTAGGTGACACCTTCATGTGCCATAATTCTCAGATATTGCTAGAAAATGTTATGCATAGTGCAAGTTTCCTTAGTCCAGACCCCACCTATGTCTAAGGACCTTCCAAAGTAGTTATGGAGCTGAAGGTGATAGGATCTGACCAATGTATTGTTGCTTAATGGCTTGCTTCAGACTGTCTCCCATTTTTATGAAACTTGGCCTTCTTAAAACTGTCCCATCCAATAGAAAGTCCTAGATGGAATCTAAGCAGCTGTCAGTGTTCAGGTGTGAATTCAGCATATGCTGAATTGTCCTCTATCTTAGAACAGTTATTATGATTGGGAAATCCTGGTACCTCCTAAAGACAGTTGTGTTTCTTCAGCTCATAGCATGGAGCTAAATTTACATATATCCTCCTGAGTGCCCCATCTGGAATCTGAAGGGAGGCAAGACCTTTCAGGAAACCACAGAAATTAGTTTTAAGAGGTTTTATCTGTATAGTGCTTGCTTAATATACAATTGCAAATCTATTTGTAAACCTGCTGTCTCTGGTAGGTTCCAGTGAGCCATCTGGTGTGTAGATTACATGTATTGCAAAAAGAATAAAATAATTTTACAACCCTTTTCTTGCAAAGTTAAAATGTTACCTCAGCCTGGTATGTGCCAGAATAGAACAGTTTTAAGTTAAAACAAAGTACAGATGAAATGCAGAAAGATACTGTAATAATTTGGTTAGTCTTTCATGTTATCTTCTATGGATGGGACCTTTAAAACCCTGGGGTAGATACCAAGTTTAGTAACTTCCAAAAGTTTCTCTGGGTTGCAAGCACACATCGTTCCAGGTGATGCTCAATAACATTACTGGTTCAAATTTCAAAGATCCATCTTTGGCATCTAGCAGTATACAGCAGAGGGACTTATTTCTCTGTTTTCTACAGAAGGTGATAGGGGGCTGCTGCTGCTGTCTTTGCTGGATACTTCAAACCCAAAGGCATCCAACTTGTCTGTTGGAGGGAAAAGGCTGTTGGTACTGCTGGTGTACCCACTGGTGCCTCTTTAGGTAGACTTTTGTTACCAGTTTCTCAGTAGTGAATTTGCTGCAACATAAGAGAGAACTTTGGAGGAGAAGGAATGTGTGATTCTTTTTCCTTAGTCCATTGAGCAATCTCATTTTCATTGCATGACTGCACAAAATATATCTGTATTGGTACAGGAGCTGGGGAAGCAAACTTTTTAGTCATAAATAGCAACAGACAAACTGTATGGGGAAGGCAGTCATCTTTTCTTCCAATGTCATTACTTGTGAGGTAGCAGAGGAAATAATCTTGAGAAGATGCCTGTGTTGTTTGTTTTTGTTTAAAAAAACCTGACGCAACAGTCTTCACTTGTACTGTGGCTTTCCTCTCAAATACTTACCTTGTCGGTCTTAGGACCTTGCTGGACTGTTAGGATCCTGCCTTGCTGATACTTCTTTTCCTGAAAATCACCATCTTCTTGTCGTCTGTGATGGATGGAGCCTGGAGATGTCCTTTGAAGTCCCTGTATGTGGTGTGTTCAGGTAGGGAGTGATCTTGGCAATTCTGCCTGGTCTGGGAGTCAAAGAGTGCTGCAAAACCTCTGCGTGGTATCTGTACTGCCAGCACTCATGACCTGGCTGATAGAGGTGTTGTGGTAATACCTGTCAGCTCTGCTCATTGTATCTGCTCGTTTTCCCTACTGCCTTGATAATGGAGCAGGTAGACCACACTGGTGACAGCAACCAAACAGTTCTCCTGGGGAGGGAAAAGCATCCAAGGCTGCCGTGGGCAGTTTGTGATACCAATAACTCAGGAGAGAAAGGGAGTATGATTCTCCTGATGTCTGGACCTACTGTACCCTGACCCACTTCTGGCAACAACTCTACTGTCAGAGTTGGATATTGGCATCATAAAATATAAACCGTGAGCCCAGCATTGCATGGGGCTTGGTGGAGGGAGATTTCCTCCTTGTTGCCTTTAGCAGTCAGTCACTGCTAACCTTGAATCTGGCACATGGTGTGTGTTCTTGAGACACACAGGCAGCCTTGAGAAGGGCCTTCTTGTGAAGCCTTCTCTGTTAAGGGCTCCAAGATCTTCACCATAGTGTGCTTCTAGTCTTCTTGATTAGGACTGAGACAGAGCTTGCAGTGGATGGCGATGGACAGTTCAGTGATAATAACAGAAAGCTACAGATATCACCAAGGAGGCTGTAGCTGTGAGTCCGATCTTGTGTCCCTTGGTCTTGCTGTGGATGCAAGATGGTCATCTTGCAGGCTGAAGACTGTTGTTGACCCATGGCTGCAGATGATGTGGCTTACCTAAGTCATCTTGGGGAGGCTGAATCATGTGGAGAGATCAGTTCTAAAAGCAGAAGAACGCCATGTCCTGCAACCTGTCTCAAAGCTGGTTGGCTACTGCCACAGGGTGATGGTCCTTTTCGGTGATTTTGATCCTCATGAATACCGTACCCTGTGGACTTTAATAGGTATGGGCAACTACACGAGTCTTGAGGATGTTGGAGACTATTGCTTAAGATTGGATGTTTAGTATAGGGGATTGTCCAAGTGAAGGAAAATTTGTCAGCCGTCCTCTGGCTGCATCAGTAGTTGGATCTGCTTCTCCAGCCGGAGGCCAGCCCTTGCATAGTGCTCCACATGGGGCCAGTGGTGGAGCACACTGCTACGGCCACAGCAGCCTGGACCTTTTGCCAGCTGTTCTGCACTTCAGCTGATATTGTATCAGGTTTAAGGCAGACGGGGCTTTCT